CTTCTAGTACTACAATGAATAGGTATGGAGAGAATGGACAGCCTTGTCTTGTTTCTGACTTCAGTGGAATTGCTTTGAGTTTCTCTCCATTTAATTTGATATTGGCTATAGGCTTGCTGTAAGTTGCCTTTATTATGTTTATGTATGTCCCTTGTATCCCTGATCTCTCCAAAACTTTTATCATAAAAGGGTGTTGACTTTTGTCAAAGGTTTTTTTTTTCAGTATCTAATGAGATGATGATTTTTTCTTTTAGTAAGTTTATATGGTAGATTACATTGACAGATTTTTTTTTTTTGTATGCTGAACCATCCCTGCATTTCTGGTATGAAGCCTACTTGATCAATGAAAGTCAAAGTATTGGCTCAGGATCCCCAAGGCCAAGTTTTCAGCACAAAGGGGATTCATTTGCTCCAGAGGGACATAGGACAGGAAATAAGAGACAAACATAGGAGATAGAAGATAAAGGAGAAGGGGAAAGAAATAAGAGAGAGGGGGCAGGGATATTTGTCCAGGAGGGACAAAGAAATGCCTCTGGATAAAGGAATGACAGATGTGGTACATAGGAAAATGATGGTTTATAAAGGTAAAATGGGAAATCCTATTGTCTTAGTAGGGTTTCTATTGCTGTAAAGAGACACTGTGACCACTGCAACTCTTACAAAGGAAAAACATTTAATTGGGGTGACTTACATTTTCAGAGATTTAGTCCACTATCATCATGGTATGACATGGTAGCTTATAGTGAAAGACCCCAGCAGGGATACTTTCACGGAAGGGAGACCCGAACCCAAGGAACAACGAGACCACGAGCTTGGATGCAACAGCAAGAGGCTTTATTGATAACATACGGGTACCCGGGCGTCTCAGTCTCGGGGAACTGAGCGCGCCGAGCTGGGGACTCAGGGGTTCTTTTATAGCAAAAAGCGCAGTACAGAAGCGAGAAGCCTAGTAACAGGACCCTGATTGGGTAATGTAAATGTGGCTAGGGCTCAGAGCGCGGGCAGATAGAGGTTTTTCTTAAAACTCAAGTTTCGGCCCTTGGCCCTATCTGAGGAACAATTGGTCTCTGTGTTTGCTCAACCCTGCTGGGCTGGCCATCCGGTTGCTTCGCAGACACCCAGCAGCCTGTGTCCCTGGGCAGAGCTCCCTTCTGATAACAATGACTATTCAGCTGTGGGGACCTTGGGCTGAGCTCCCTTCTGATAGCAATGACTATTCAGCTGTGGGGGAAACGGAATTTTCCATAAGCCTCAGCTGCCTGTTTAGACTGGGCCAGGGTCTTTCAATAGGAAGACTGGTGCTGGAGAAGTGCTGGGAGTCCTACATCTTGACTTGCAGGCAACAGGAAGTGGTCTAAGTGTTAACACTGAGTTTGAGCAAAGGAGACTTCAAAGACTACCCCCATAGTGACACATTTCCTCCAACAAGGCCATACCTACTCCAACAAAGGTACACTTCTGAATAGTGCTACTCGCTTTGCAGGCCAATTATGTTCAAACTGCCACACCTGTGTTAGGATGGGGTGTTAAATTTTAATTGTGCTTGTTAATTAGGTGAGCTGAAGGGAGCTTCTGAATGCTGCACTTTAATACTTCTATGGCTGGATTTTGGTAGTCAGCCTCAGGAGGAGGAAGGGGCCAAATAAGTAAATAGACCTTGGGGGCCAGATTGAGGAATGTAATCTAATGGTTTTTAGCCAGGCAGAGGGAACCGGGGAGAGGGCAAGACCTGCCATCTGTCATGGTGGGTGATCTTTTTGTTGTGTTCTTGGATTTGGTTTGTAAGTATTTTGTTGAGTATTTTTGCAATGTTCATGAGAGAAATTGGTCTGTAATTCTTTCTTTGTTGAATATTTGTGTGGTTTGGGTATCAGGATGACTGTGGTCTCATAAAGTGTTAATTTGGCAATGTTCTTTTTGTTTTGTGTTTTATGGAATAATTTGAGGAGTATTGGTATTAGGTTTTCTTTGAAAATCTGGTAGAACTCTGCACTAAAACAGTCTAGACCTGGGCTCTTTTGGGTTGGGAGAGTTTTTTTGTTTTTGTTTTTTTGTGTTTTACGAGACAGGGTTTCTCTGTATTGTTTTGGAGGCTATCGGTCCAGCCCGGCCTCGAACTCACAGAGATCTGCCTGGCTCTGCCTCCCGAGTGCTGGGATTAAAGGCGTGCACCACCACCGCCTGGCTGGGTTGGGAGAGTTTTAATGACTGTTTCTATTTCTTTGTGGTTATAGGTCTATTTAAGTTGTTTATCTGATCTAGATTTAACTTTGTAAAGTGGTATCTATTGAGAAAATTGTTCATTTCTTTTAGATTTTCCAATTTTGTGGAGTACAGGGTTTTGAAGTCTAACATAATAATTCTTCTGATTTCATGGTGTCTGTTGTTTCACTTTTGATTTTGTTAGTTTGGATGTTCTGTCCTCTTGTTTAGTTAGTATGGATAAGGGCTTGTTGATCTTGTTGATGTTTTCAGAGAACCAACTCTCTGTTTCATTGATTCTTTATAACGTTCTCTTTGTTTCTATTTTATTTTGTTTTCCAGACAGGGTTTCTCTGTGAAACAGCCCTTGCTCTCCTGGAAGTCACTTTAGTAGATAGGGCTGGCCTTGAACTCACAGAGATCTGCCTGTCTCTGTTTGTTGACTGCTGGGATTAAAGGTGTGATCTACCACCCTGGGCTTGTTTCTAGTTTATTGATTTCAGCCCTCACCTTATTTCCTGAGGTCTACTTTTCTTGGGTGTTTTTTTAGGGGGGGGAGTTGTTTTGTTTTGTTTTGTTCTAGAGCTTTCTGGTGTGCTATTAGGTTGATAGTATGAGATTGCTGATTTTTTTTCTGAAGGCATTTAGTGCTATGAGCTTTCCTCTCAGCACCACTTTCATTGTGTCCCGTGAATATGAGTAAATTGTGCATTCATTTTCATTGAATCCTATGAAGTCTGTAATTTCTTTCCTTTTTTTAAAAAAGATTTTATTTCCTTATTACATATACAGTGTTCTACCTACATACCGGAATAGGATACCAGATTGAATTGTAGATGATTGTGAGCCACCATGTGGTTGCTGGGAATTGAACTCAGGACCTCTGGAAGAGCAGTCTTAAACTCTGAGCCATCTCTCCAGCACCTGTAATTTCTTTCTTTGTTTCTGCCTTGACCCCGTAGACATTCAGTAGAGTTTTCCAGTTTCCATGAGTTTGTAGAGTTTCTGTTGTTGTTGATATCCAGCTTTAATCTGTGGTTATTTCAATTTTTATTTCAATTTTCTTGTATCTGTTGAGACTTGCTTCGTGACGGAGTATGTGGCCAATTTTGGAGAAAATTCCATGAGGTGCTGAGAAGAAGGTATATTCTTTTGTATTTGGGTGAAATGTTCAGTAGAGATCTGTTAGGTTCATTTGGTTCATAAAGTTTGTTAGCTCCATTATTTCTCAGTTTAGTTTTTGTTCATTGGCGAGAGTTGGGTATTAAAGTCTCCTACTATCAATGTGTGATGTTTTGTCTTTTCTCTTGCTCTTTGAGGGGTCCACCACCCAGCTCTTATTCTTACTTATGAATGTCCAGCCTTAGCTTAGCTTGTTTCTAGCCAGCTTTTCTAACTTAAATTATCCCAGTCTACATTTTGCCTCTGGGCTTTTATCTTTCTTTATTTTATAAACCATTGTTTACATTTTACTCCATAGCTGCTGTGTGGCTGGCCCCTGATGCCCTTTCTCCTTTTTTCATTCCCCTCTTTCTGTTTATTCTCTCTGCTTGCCAGCCCGCCTATCCCTCTCCTGCCTAGCTACTGGCCATTCAGCTCTTTATTAAGCTAGTCAGTTGTTTTAGACAAGCAAAGTAACACAGCTTCACAGAGTTAAACAAATGTAATATATAAAAGAATGCAACACATCTTTGCATTATTAAACAAATATTCCACAGCATAAACAAATGTAACACATCTTAAAATACTATTCCACAACAGCAGGGGCTTTCTGCTGGCCTGTAGGCCAGTATCTGTATTCTGTGATGTCGCTAAACTTTTACAGCTTTTCCCATCTTCTCTTGGCCCGTTTTCTTTCCTGCCTAACCTGACTTCCGACCTGTGGCCACCAGTGTCTCTTCTGTCTTCCACTCTGCAACTGAATGAGCTCAGCCAACCTGCAGCTTTGCATCACAAACCCTCTCTCTGCTGGAGCTGAGCACTCCTGAGCACGTCACTGCAAACCTAGGGTCTCCAGCCTTACTGGAGCAATATTCTTGATGCTCACAGCTAATAACAACGAGTGTTTGTTACATCTAACTGTTCTCATTGAGAGGCCTCAACCACATGAACTGGCATTTTCTGTATGTGCTAGAATTCTTTCTGTAAACAATATTTTATGTTTTGAACAGCTTTCTACAGCAAATATGTATTTCTTGGTATGTCACATTTGTGAGTTTGATCTAGTAGTAATTAATTAACTTTATACCTTGGAAAGCAATTTCAAGCTTTGCAGCAGCACTTGCTGCAGGGTTGACCCTTCTAATTAAGTGTGAAGGGCAGTTGGCCTCCGTGCATCACTGTAACACTTCAGTGTAAGAGCTGAGGTAAGAAGCAGACGCGTTCTGAGGAACATGTTAGAGAGCATTGTCTTAGAATCAGGTAAAATTCACAGTGAGGATTTTTCTTACATCCAACATCACCACCCTGGTCATTATAAAAACAAACAACATCCCAGAATGTTTGGTTGAATGAGCCATTAATTTGTCGGATATATGTTTAGCATGTATGAGGCCCTGGGTTAAATGCCCAGTAATTCAAAAAGAAAACCAGACAAGAATCTCCCTTGAACAACCAAAAATCCAACAAAGAAGGCTCCATAGATAGAAACTGTTATAAGTGTAGGCTTTTAGGTTTTCTTGTCTAAATCACGAAGGAAGACAGGGCAAGAATATGGAAAGAGAACATTCTCACACCTGCCCCAGAGGACAGTTTCCATTGTCTTGTCCTCACTTAAGTGTCTCCTTTTTCTATTGCAGTTCTCCTTAACATGGAAGATGAGTTCTTTGGAGAAAAATGCTTCCAATATTATTGTGCAGAGTTCATCAAGCATTCACAACAGATAGGAGATGGTTGGGAATGGAAAACAGCCAAGGTAAGAGCAGGAAAAAGCATTTCTTTGTTTTTGTGTTTTGATAAGGGGTCTTAGTATGTGTCGTAGCTAGCCTGGTATTTTCTGTGTATCCCAGGCTGCCTTCAAACTCACAGAAGTCCTTCCACTCTGTCTCCCAAATGATGGGTCACAGGTATTTGTCATCACACCTGGCTACAACAGGGATTCCTATTTTCATGTTCAGCAGAGGGCTATTTATTTTTGTTATAAAAAACTCCTCAGTAATCGGAAGTAAGGTGTAAAAGTAGGGTTACAAAAGGCATAAAATTAAAAGCATTATTTAAAAACAGATGTTCATTTTATTATTCCAGCTATATATACTCATAATTATTTGGTTAATGAAGTGTTATCTAGAAAAGTCCTTAGGTGACCTTCATGAATTTATAGATAAGGACCCTTACAATATCAATTATTGCTATGTAAACAGATGTTTCTCTGGTGCTTCAAACCACATGTTTACATTATAAGTGTTTGTTCTTTCTCCCTGTTGGTTTTGAGAAACTTCATATGTTGTCAGAGATGGCAGTGACATCCTCTCTCCTAAGTACTGGGATCACAGGCTTGTGCGACCACACTGGCTACATCAAATACTTTTTTTTAGGACACTATTTTCGTCTAGAAAGTAATAGTAATCCTGAAATCAAGTATAGACCAGTGAATCTGAAATATATATGTCTTTTTTTAAAAAAAAGATTTATTTATTTGTTTGTTTGTTTATTATGTATCCAATGTTCTGCCTGCATGTAAGCCTGCTGGCCAGAAGAGGACACCAGATCTCATTATAGATGGTTGTGAGCCACCATGTGGTTGCTTGGAATTGAACTCAGGACCTATGGAAGGGCAGTCAGTGCTCTAACTCCTGAGACCTCTCTCCAGCCCCCAAATCTGAAAAATAAGGGATGTATGTTTGGGAATGTCTTAATGACATGAAAACATTGCAGAATATTTTTCCTTTTGATTCTATTCCAAAATAAAGTAAAAGCATTATTCACTCTTTTATTTCCATATATACAATTGGTGTTGCTTTCTGCTAAACGCTTTTTGAGCATTACCTGCAGTCTTTTTAGAGGCCGTTCCCCCTTCCTGACATTTCAGTTGGTTCTTGAGTGGCTCAGGCTCTTGCTCTCTGCATCATGGTTCAGCTTCCAGTGTGCATCTGAGAAACCTGAATGTCTTGTGCCAGATTTCCATGATTTAGAACTGAGCAGGGAGATGCAGGTCCTTAGTGGACCAGAATGTCGCCAGAAAGAAGCCATGGGTTCTCTGGGGTCATTTGCCTGACCCAGGCTCTGACTGGTTCTCAAATCGTCTCCCCTGGTGATTCAACAATCTTGTTTGTCTGAGACAGGGCCTCACTTGGTGGTGCATTCTGGCTTCTGCTTGCACACACTCTGGCTTGGTGGTACAGACTGGCTTTCTCTGCTGCAGGGTCTGGCTTCCACTCAAACAACCATGAGTTCCCAATAGGTCTGCCTGTTTCCCCTGAACTGGGATTACAGACATGAATCACAACAGCAAGGATCACAAACCTTTAAACCCTGAGGGGCACTTGCCGGCCCCCTATATGGGACAGTTGACTTTATTTATACCTTTTCTTAATTAATTTTGTTCTTGAGTACTTAATAGCTTTTAAATTTAAATTAGAAACAAGCTAGTTTTACTTGTCAGTCCAGTTCCCTCTCACTCCCCTCCTCCCCTGCCCCTCACCAACCCCTATCTCATCCCCTTTCTGCTCCCCAGGGAGGGTGAGGCCTTCCATGGGGATCTTCAAAGTCTCTCATGTCATTTGGAGTAGGGCCTAGACCCTCCCCCATGTGTCTAGGCTGAGAGAGTATCTAAGTGGAATGGGCTCTCAAAGTCCATTAGTTTACTAGGGATAAATACTGCTCGACTACCAGAGGCCTCATAGATTAGCCAGACCTCCAAACTGACATCCTCATTCAGGGGGTCTGTAACAGTCCTGTGCTGGTTTCCCAGCTATCAGTCTGGGGGTCCATGAGCTCCCCCTTGTTCAGGTCAGCTGTTTCTGTGGTTTTCTCCTATGCTCATCGCTCCTCCCTCTCTGCAACTGGATTCCAGTTTAGCTGGGGTGTCTGCTTCTGCTTCTATCAGCTACTGGATGAAGGCTCTAGGATAGCATATAAGGTAGTTGCCTATCTCATTATCGGAGAAGGGCATTTAAGGTAGCCTCTTCACTATTGCTCAGATTGTTAGTTGGGGTCATCCTTGTGGATTTCTGAACATTTCCCTAATGCCAGATTTCTGTTTAAAACTATAATGGCTCCCTCTATTATGGTATCTCTTTTCTTGCTTTCCTCCATTCTTCCCCTGACTCGATCTTCCTGCTCTCTCCTGTCTTCCTCTCCCCTCCTCTTCTCCCCTTCTCTTTCTTCTAACTCCCTCTCCCCTCCCCCCATGCTCCCAATTAGCTCAGGAGATCTTGTCCCTTTGTCCTTCTCTGGGGACCATGTATGTCTGTCTCTCTTAGGGTCCTTCTTGTTTCCTGGCTTCTCTGGTGGTGTGGATTGTAGGCTGGTAATCCTTTGCTCTATGTCTACAATCCATATATGAGAGAGTACATGCCATGTTTGTCTTTTTGTTACTGGGTTACCTCACTCAGGATGGTTTCTTCTAAGGTTCCATCCATTTACCTTCAAATTTCAGGATTCCATTGTTTTTTTCTGTCGAGTAGTACTCCATTGTGTAAATGTACCAAATTTTCTCCATCCACTCTTCAGCTGAGGGGCATCTAGGTTGCTTCCAGGTTCTGGCTATTACAAATAATGCTGCAATGAACATGGTGGAACAGACCTCCTTGTTGTATGAATGTGCATCTTTTGGGTATATGCCTAAGAGTGGAATTGCTGGGTCTTGTGGTAGGCTGATTCCCATTTTTCTGAGGAATCTCCATACTGATTTCCATAGTGGCTATATGAGTTGACACTCCCATCAGCAGTGGAGGAGTGTTCCCCTTTCTCCACATCCTCTCCTTCATAAACTGTCTTTGGTGTTTTTGATTTTAGCCATTCTGACAGGAGTAAGATGGTATCTCAGAGTTGTTTTGATTTTCATTTCCCTGATGGCTAAGGATGTTGAGCACTTTCTTATGTGCCTCTTGGCCATTTTAGCCTCCTCTATTGAGAATTCTCTATTTAATTCTGTACCCCACTTTTTAGTTGGATCATTTGGTGTTTTTATAACTAGATTCTTGAGTTCTTTGTATATTTTGGAAATCAGACCTCTGTCAAATATGGGGTTGATGAATATCTTTTCCCATTCTGTGGGCTGCCATTTTGTTTTGTTGACTGTGTCCTTTGCCTTAGAAAATCTTCTCAGTTTCAGGAGGTCCCATTTATTAATTGTTCATCTCAGTTTCTGTGCTACTAGACTTATGTTCAGGAAGCAGTCTCCTGTACCAATTTGTTCGAGGGTACCACCTACTTTCTCTTCTAGGAGGTTCAGTGTGACTGAATTTATGTTGAGGTCTTTGATCCATTTGAGCTTAAGTTTTGTGCATGGTGATAGATACCTGCAGTCTTCTACATGCCAGCATCCAGCTATGCCAGCACCAGTTGTTGAAGATGCTTTCTTTTTTCCATTGTATAATTTTAGCTTCTTTGTCAAAAATCAAGTGTTCATAGGTGTGTGGGTTAATATTGGGGTGTTCAATTCGATTCCATTGGTCTACCTGTCTATTTTTGTGCTGATACCAAGCACTATAGCTTTACAATAGAGCTTGAAGTCAGGGATGGTGATGCCTCCGGATAGTCCTTTATTGTACAGGGTTGTTTTGTCTATCCTGGGTCTTTTGTTTTTCCTTATAAAGTTGAGAATTGTTCTTTCAAGGTCTGTGAAGAAATGTACCGGTATTTTGATGGGGATTCCACTGAATCTGTAGATTGCTTTTAGCAAGATTGCCATTTTTAGTATGTTGATCCTGCCTATCCAAGAGCATGGGAGGTCTTTCCATTTCCTGGTGTCTTCTTTAATTTCTTTCTTTAAAGACTCAAAGTTCTTGCTATACAGGACTTTCACTTGTTTAGTTATCGTTACCCCCAGGTATTTTATGTTGTTTGTGACAATTGTAAAGGGTGATTCTCTGATTTCTTTCTCAGCCCTTTTATCATCTGTATATAGTAGGGCTACTGATTTTCTTGAGTTGATCGTGTATCCTGCCAGGTTGTTGAAGGTGTTTAGCAGTTGCAAGAGTTCCTGGTAGAGTTTTTTGGGTCACTATGTGTAAACTATCATATCATCTGCAAATAGTGAAAGTTTGACCTCTTCCTTTCCAATTTGTATCCCCTTGATCTCTTTTTGTTGTCTTATTGCTCTAGCTAGAATTTCAAGTACAATATTGAAGAGGTATGGGGAGAGGGGACAGCCTTGCCTTGTTTCTGATCTTAGAGGAATTGCCTTGAGTTTCTCTCCATTCATTTTGATGTTGGCTGTTGGTTTGCTGTATATAGCTTTTATGATGTTTAGGTATGTACCTACTATCCCAGGTCTCTCCAAGACCTTTATTATGAAGGGGTGTTGGATTTTCCAAAGACTTTTTCAGCATCTAGTGAGATGATCATGTGATTTTTGTTTCTCAGTTTGTTTATATGGTGGAAAACATTGATGGATTTTCATATGTTGAACCATCCCTGCATTCCTGGAATGAAGCCTACTTGATCATGGTGGATGAGGTTTCTGATGTGTTCTTGGATCCAATTTGCCATTATTTTATTGAGTATTTTTGCATCAATGTTCATGAGGGATATTGGTCTGAAGTTTTCTTTCTTAGTAGTGTCTTTGTGTGGCTTGGGTATCAATGTTATTGAAGCCTTGTAAAAAGAGTTTGGCAAAAGATCCTTTTGCTTCTATTGCATGGAATACTTTGAGGAGAATTGGTATAACCTGTTCTTTGAATTTCTGGTAAAATTCTGCACTGAAGCCATCTGGTCCTGGGCTTTTTATGGTAGGGAGACTTTTGATGACTG